CGATCTGGCTGTGTGGTCTCTGAGCGGACTCTAATTGGAGAACCAAGGCTTGGTGCATTAAACATTCCATTAATTGGCCCATGACTGTTTTCTTCTTCTGTAGTAGCCTATAAAGGAGTGTCACAATATAAAAAAATAAATTAACATAAGGATAACATCCCAATCTTATCAAAATATTTGGATATAAGATAATTCTTATGTAAAGCATTTTCTAAATGTGATTTTAAAAACAGTTGACATAATCCCTCTATTTGAAAATCAGTTTCTATTACTGAAAAACTAAAGATTTTAGAAATATTATTTAACATAAGCAGCTATTTTATATCAAGTTTGACCACTAGTTCACTACCTAGATCTACAATAGATCTATTCACCCAATTTTCATGAACTCATGTAGCCTCCCTAACCTCAGATTCCTACATTTTCTTCCTGTGCCTGTTTTTCTTCAGACATTCTAGTTTTTGTTGCTCTAACCTGCTATATTTTATTGTCATTGTAATTCCCATTTTCTCTCATTCTTAAATGAGCTAGCTGACCTTGGGCCAGTCATTCTCTCAGTCCTAGGAAAGAGACAATGGCTAACCACTCCTCAAAAACCTTGCCAGGAAAACTACAGGGCCATTTCCAAGCAGTCTTTGAAAATTGGACATGACTGGACAGAAGAAAAAAACATAGGAGGCACCTATTTTTAATTCTGGGAAACAAATGTGCGGATATGTATGTGTGTGTGTATTTCAACTCTCGCCTCATGTTGCATCTGCCTGAGTGTTAGTCGAGCACTACCTGTACTTCTAGTGTGATATGCACTGATATTAAAATTCTTAACCAAATATTCTGATAAGCACTATAAACAATGTGGAGAAAGGACTGAGACTACTTAGCACTACATGAAAACAAAGCCGTTTCATCATTCTCTTAAGAAATTCATTGAAACATTTTCAGCAGCACAATTAACAAATAGAAATGAAACCTTTATGCATATACAGTATATATATATATATATCACATCAGGGACAAATTAAGTGGTTTTCTTCATCATACTCCATTTATTCATTTTTTCATGGATATTTGATTAGTCACCATTGGAAACAGATATATATGTATATGTTAACAAGAAAAAAAGAAAATGCTATCATTTATTCAACTGCAATACTTACTTTATGGATGCCCAATTTAATCTTTTTCCTGTTAGCATCCATTTCTTCCCACACATCCTTTTCCTGAAGACGATGTCCAGGAGACTCTGGTAACTTTTCTGGTGAGATTCCAATAGGGATACCATTCTCACCGTCACTGAGTTGTTCATCAGGAAATACTTCATCTGTATTCTCTCGTAATAAATCTCCTGGTATTGGTGTAGCATTGGCAATTCTATATATGAAAAAGTTAAAATTAATACTAAACCTGTCCCAGTTTCTTTTCTAAACTGACACTTACTTCCTCTCTGCCGTAGACTAGTAATGCTAAAACAATTTTCCCTAACTTCCAGGTTTCCATATGCTAATGAAGTCAGCATGCTACCCTATTAGGATAAGGACCAGAAGAGAAGATACTATTCCATCACTTTTGCCTCTGGTTTCCCCCACCAAGCAATAACCATTAGAATGAGCTGCATAATAATGATTGACTGTTTTAAATTTCTTCCCAATTACATCATGGCACCTGAACTGTTTTCAACCTGGCTATATTATGAATTAATATTTCCTGACACCTCTGGAGGACAGAAATTTAAAGATGACCCTTCTCTTCCAAAAGACATAGTTATCTATTATCTTATTGGTCAAAGTGACCAAATGCAAGTTATTATAAATGCAAGACACCATTCTAAATATCTGACACAGAACACTGAATCTTTATCTGTCAAGTAACCTGAGATGAACTTAATCTCAGATTCTTGATCTTAATCTGAGATTGATATATCTTATATTAGGTATTTAAGATTTGTCAGCATCTTATTATGAAGGAGTATCTGTTTCCGTACCAATTTTGGTCACCATACTACAAAAAAGATGTTGAGACCTTGGAAAAAGTTCAGAAAAGAGCAACTAAAATGATCAAAAGCCTGGAGACTAAAACATATGAAGAATGGCTACAGGACTTGAGTTTGGCTAGTCTAAAGAAAAGAAGAAACAGGGGTGACATGATAGCAGTATTGCAGTATTTGAGGGGCTGCCACAAAGAAGAGGGGGTCAAATTATTCTCCAAAGCACCAGAGGGCAAGACAAGAAACAATGGTTGGAAACTGATCAAAGAGAGAATCAACCTGGAATTAAGGAGAAACTTCCTAACAGTGAAGACAATTAATCAGTGGAACAGCTTGCCTCAAGAAATCATGGATGCTCCATCACTGGAGGTTTTTAAGAAGAAACTAGACAATCACTTGTCTGAAATGGTATAGGTTCTCCTGCTCGAGCAGGGGGCTGGACTAGAAGACTTCCAAGGTCCCTTCCAGTTCTGTTCTATTCTATTATCCATGAAGAAGCACTTATAACTTGAAATGCTAATTCATCTAATGTCCAAAAAAAAAAAAGATTCAAAATACCCTATAGCAGCTGGGGTCAGTCGAGTATGTAGCTGAGGAGTAGTTGAAGTGGTGGTGGTGGTAAGAGAACCATCAGCCCCACTCTTTTCCCAATCAAACAGATCGCTCTCTGTCACCCCAAAATTCTTCATACTGTTATCAAAAACGGACATGAGAAGCTATAAAAACAAAGAAAATAATTAATTATATTTCATGTCAATTGTTTCTTCAAACAACTTTTTGAAAACTCTGTTCTGATATACAAGATCTTCATAATACATTTATTATTAGGTAAAATTAAATACTATGATTATTCATCTCCTAAACAACACAGCCTTTGATATTGCTTAAAAGAATTCTACCTACTGCATGTCCAGGTAACAAAAGAAGTATAGGAGATATAAATATCCTATTAAGTATCAGGAATATACCAGGGACTTAAAATGGTTTTTCTTTCAAGAGAAAAAAACTAAACCAAATTTATAAGAAAATTCTTTTGTCCTGCTACTTATTTTCACCCTTTCTCATCCTCAGTGCTATCTTATACCTGCTTCAACAGGCAACCAAGTTCACCATGGTGTTGCTATTGTAATGGCATGTAACACAACAACTCAGTGTCTCTCATACCTCTCTTTTATAGAACCTACTTGCTCCTAGAAGCAGACAAGTTAAATAGTTGCCAGTTAAATAGTACTATTCACTCAGTTAGTTATAATTCAAATTTACTTATGATAATATACTTTGTGTCTGGATTATTGATTATAGATTTATACTCTGACTTAGGTGGAAAAACTTTCAAAGCAGTTACAAAAAGTTAAAATAAATAAATAGAAATATAAAAATTGAAAGCCAATTAAATAGAAATATAAAAATTGAAAGCCAATATTCAAATATAATCAACCAGGAATGGCAAACACATTTAATATACCATGAATTTAATATGGTTCTAAAATGCAGATTGGAACATATAAAATCCTCAAAGTAAGTAATGAAGGCTTACATCATCAGTATAACTGAAATAATAATAAGGAAAGAACATTTGCAAGTCATTTGCAGAAATAAATACCTGGTAGTCAGGTTTAGTAAAATAGTCTAAAGAAGAAATGTGATCTAAAAAGATGTTAAATTCTTGAGGGAGATGTTTCAGCATCAGCCGGTGATCATACCTCTCTTTTATAGAGCCTACTTGCTCCTAGAAGCAGACAAGTTAAATAGTTACCATACCTTCTATCTGGACAAAAAATAATTAGTTACTTACAATTTTAAATACATATGTAAATAGAGCCCTGTACCCTAGTATATACTGTAATTTTTAAAAGATGCTGTACAAAATAACATTGCTACGTATCACTGTTTATGTTTGAATACAGAATTGGGCAACATAGGATTTTCAAGCCAACTTTTCCTAGTCCTAATACAATTGTCAAAAATCAGTATTTAATCCTTATCTTCCTAGCTAAAATCTGGTAATTCTACCACTATTGCCCATATTGCTATCAACATTAATGTTTTTTAATGAGGATAGGATCTTAGGTGTAGTCAGAAGGATGAATTTATCCACTACATGAAATTCCAATGAAAATAACCTATGATGTATGCTATTAAATATCAAATACCTTATCAGGTATCTTAAATTAAGTCTCACAGTTAAACCTCAAGATATCTCAACTGCTACATTTCTGAACAAACCTTGTCTTTAATTTTCCTCCAGGGCAGTTGTCCAACCACGAACTCCACCAACATGTAAAACAAAGACCAAAGATCATCATGACGTCCCATCTCCTATAGAAATAAAGAAGACTGCATGTTGATCTTCTTTATTTTGCAGACCTATCCAATATAATCCAGTGTTAGAATACCAACTGTATCACTAAGAGTATTGCTTATTTAAATATGTGAGTAATGATACACATAAAGGAAATCTTAATGCTACTGCAATAAAGGTACACAAACTATGCAAAGAAGGATTCATCAGGCCTGAAAGAAAAACGAGCTAGTTATTTTAGTAATTCTTTGAACAGCCATCCAAACATTCAGATTTGGGCATTCTAGTACAGAAGTTGTAACTATCTTCAAGATTTGTTTGATGCTGCACTAAGCTTGTGAGTATGATTCCCACCTTTCTCCAATTTTCTAAGAGATTGATGCAGAATTCTGGAAGCACCAAACACACATGAACAGCCATCTGAGGAGTGGAAGCTAAAACAGTTAAGTGAATACACATATGATTTAAGAATGAGGTAGGTATAATGGTTGTGTCCATCTTCATGCATTAGTTGGGTTTTATTAATTTACAGTCCTAGAGCAACAACTAAGCATAACAACTTATTTCATATAGTCCGTGTTAACTTCTATCAGTACAAAGTGATGGATCATGAGATGAAAGAAAAGTCTGATCTAATTGAAATGACGCTGGGCCAGAATCACTCACTGACAGATTGAAATGTTAATCCTATCTGTTCAGATCCAGATAGTACCAAGACACTGGTACAATGGAGGTAATAGAAGAGATCTTGTAGATTTCAAGATAATTTACT